TGAACGCTACGGCATATTGTTTAAATATTTAAACTCCTCTTGGATACTGATTCTGATTATTTAGCTTGGGTTGTTTTGGTCAAATTTCTGACTAAGGTCATGGTTCTTGGTATTTATAATGAAAGTAAAGGTGTACAGATGTTCTAAGGCCTTTTTTATTTAAAGGAAACACAGTAAACCATTTTTAATGAAGCATTATTATTGTGTAATAGCTTAATGACATGTTCAAGGGGAATTTAAAAAATTAATTTTGATCACACACTTTTTAAAGAAGAGTTAAGGAATTAAGGAGTCCATAAAATTGACTTTCATCCAGGATGAAAAAGAAAAGGAAGAGGTATGACTCCACGTCAGAGACGTCCTCGAGCTCTGATTCCTCCAGCGACGACTCGTCCAGTCGCAAAAAACCCAAAAAGCGAAAGCACAAACGCAGACGCTCCTCACACAGTGGTAAAAAACACAAGCAAAGGGTTTCATCACGTGGGGAGGAGGAGGACGAGGAGGAGCACTACCCTGTTCCTGCCAACACCTCAGCGTCCTTCATTAATGAGAAACAAACCCTCATTAAACTGCTCGATGGAGAGAACAGAGCTGAACAACGAAGACTCTCTCATGAAAAAAGCAGAGAAGGTAGGTTTGAAGATGACCCCTTCACCCGGAGCCCTGAGACTGAGGACAGGAAGGTCAAAGGTCAACATGCGTTCCTCAGTGGTTTAAATGGCCGGGACAAAGACACGTTCAGAGATCGCAGAAGATCTGAAGACGAACACAGCACTCGGCTGGAAAGTTGTAGAAGCTCACGCATCACTTCCTGTAGGAAGGATTCCTCCTCCTCGGCCTATTCAGAGACCTCGCGCAAATCTGACTCGCGTGATTTCGACTCGCGCAAATCCAGCTCTCGTACGTCCGACTCGCGCAATTCTCACTCATCTGACTCTCGCAGATCAGACTCTTATAAATCTGGAAGCCATGGGAAGTCAGAGGTCAGGGAAGGGAATGATGGGAATGATCGTAGATTAAGCAGCAGTGATGTGAGCAAAGCCTCTGAGGGAAACCAGAAGAAGAATGTACCCACCAGTTTATTGGATATCTTTAATAAGATTGCTGAATTTGAGAAAGAAAGGAAGCAGAAGAAATGAGTGAAATGCTGTTTTCTGTGTTGTCGCAGTAGCTTCTCGCCTTGAAGGGAAAAATGGAGATGGAGTGATAAACATGAGGTAACCAAGACCTGCCAACCTTTACACCTTCTTGTGTAGGAGCTTACTTTGCACAAGAATATTCTGAAAGAAGTTGTTGCTAAAAAATACACAAAAATTTCCTTCTTGCACCCCCCCCCCCCCCCCCCCCCCCCCCCCAAAAATAAAATAAAATAAAAATAAATAAATTGCCTCAGTTTTCCTACATGAAAGATGCACTGATGTGCCATCCTCACTTTCTGTCACAGTAAATGGAATTAACTTGAAATAAATTCAGTGTGTCTTCCACTTAGCTAACATTACACGCGTATACACGTAACAACAGTTAAATGTATTTGTTATATATTAAATATATTAGAGGAACATATTAAATGAAATGATTGGGACAAAAGAGAAAAAAGGCTGACAATTTTGACAGGAAAAAACTTATAGTCCTACAACAAAGTCTAACTAGTCTAATTTTACAACAAAATCTAACTTTAATCTAAAAAATAATTTTAATGATAACGGTAATTAGAAAGTGTTTAAAACGCTGTTTGTTCTACTTCACCGGTTAGCGCAGACATGTTCAAGCAGCAGATCAGCAGATCAAAATGTTGGCCATGTGGAAACATTTTACGCTTTCTACCGATGAACTTTAGACAAGCGATTTGTAAATGTGCGATTTAGAAAATATACGGGACTAAGCATTATTCCTCTTCAAGGTTGGCAGGTCTGGATATACTGATGATGCCTTGTAATAAACAAACATGATGGTACCATGTGTTAATGTAGCAATTATCACTTCTTTATGTGTTATTTTTTTGTTTTCTGAAATGAAATTCTTCCTTGACAAAAAAAAATTTGTATTTACAAACTTTAGCAAAGTGGTTCATAGGTTAAAACTACAGTCAGTACATTTCAGTACATCCATGCAGTTTGTTGTCACTTTTTCTCAGAAGAGGGCTATAAATTGTGCAGAATGTAGTCTGGTGTGGAAATGTACTGATTGTAGTTTAGCTGATAATTAGATGTACATCTGTCGACTTCACTCTGATGCTTTTTGTTTCTCCGTCAGTCTGATTAATGTTTTAGGAATGTCTATACAACATGTAAACCAATATATCCAAGCATCTCCTAATAAACTGCGGGTTAAAGCAAAAGGAATTTGCTTAATCTTGTATCATTTTTAGTTAAACTGTTTATAACATATAAAAGACTGTGCGCTAATAATAGTTTTATAACAGATTAAATCAGATATAATTAAATACTCACTTTGAATTGTGCAGCCCGAATTTAGAGATGCACCATGCTAAACTGGTGGCTCCAAGCTTCATTGTTCACTGTTAGCAACATTAACTTTGTAGCTTTCATGCAAAAATAAAGAAACAAACTTAACACTATACAGTATGTTGATTAAGAGGAAATGGTGTCTGTTTAGTTTTTCGGATTTTATCATTTGTTGTCATTTTATCAAGTGACAACAAAAAAGTAATTTTTATCAAGTTTTCTTCTAGACCTACTGTAACATGTACTAAGGTTTTTGGTCTCTGGTAGGCCTGGGATTTGAAATTACAAAATTCTGGTTACTTAGTTTATTGAACCTTTACCAGGATTAAAGGGTGAGAAAAGAAATAATAATAATAATAATAATAAAAACATTTTACAAGAAATTTATTAATTATCCAGTAGAGGGCAGTTCAACACAACAGCACAGCCTGAAAGTCTGTTTACAGAAAGATGATAATATAATACTTACACAATATTAAACTAATCTTTAACATACACTTGCCTTTTTATAATGGATATTTTGATATTAACTGTAAAAAATATAGTAGTTTTTAATAATACAATAAGTAATTTCTAATGCAGTATTGTCAGTAATTATAATTTGATCCTGATATTTCTTCTTAACAACTAATATTAATATAAGAATATTGGTAGTGTTTTAATTATTATTAAAAAAGAATGTAAGAAACAAAGAAATGATCAAAAGAGTGATTGAATGTGTGTTTTTAAAATATTGGTAATGGGAAATTAGTCTTGGTGTTCCTTGGTGTTGGATCAAAGTGTGTGTGGGCATGTTTATATACCTTGGTGGGGACCAAATGTCCCCACAAGGATACGAATACATTGATTGACTGATTAACTGAAACGTTCAGAATATTTGGCTTGTCCCCATAAGGAAAAAATTATTATTTTTTGTAGGATTTAGATGGAATTATCATTGTAACCATCAGATAATCTGATTCAGTCTTGGAATGGATCCAAACAGGGTCAAGGTCACAGAAAGGTCAAATGTCTGCAGTAGCTTTCTTAAATAGTTTCCTTCCTGTTTAAAAAATATTTTAAAGGTATTTCAGTCATACAGATTTGTAACAAGAAGTACTCAACGTGGTCAATAAGGATAAGCCATAAGGATCTTCCAGAGTTACACCATTTGAAAGTGTTAGTTTAGCTGAATAGCATTTCCTGCCTATTGGTGCTAATTCTTAATAAGTGGATGACATTTTAGCTGATGTCAATCCAATTCCTAAATGAAATTCTTGCTAGAATCTTTAGTCAGATTATAACCAAGTATCATCGGGTGCTCTGGTATTTTTATTAGCATGGAGTTTATGGTGTTTCAGTCAGGAGGCTGTTTATGTAAGCAGCATTTCTAAGACAGCTGTCTTCCTTAAATCTGAAACGATCCAAAAATTCTGTTCACCAAAAAACTGTTGGTTTCTTTAAAGTTAGAAAATCATGAACAAAACATGCTGACCCAAGTTCTTAAAAAAATGTAATATTGTAACCCATTTTGTATGTTTTATTATTTTTGTCTTTGTGTACTTTAATTTATTTTTTTTATTGTAAAGCAACGTTGAATATTTATTTATTTGTTTGTTTGCACCATTTTTTCCTTTGATGTGTGTGTGTGGTTTACATGGTAGCTACGTATCCTTTTATTTCTCAACAGCAGCCATCAGCACTTCTTTTTTTTCTTTTTTTTTTTTCTTCTTCTTCTTCTGTCTGGAGAGCAGGCTCTCTGAAGGTCCTCTGATGACCTTGCGGAGCTCTTATGAGTTATTATTAATACAGAATTATTTAAGTGGAAAACTGCACTGAGCTCCTTTCAGAGAAGAAATTAAATAAACCAAAGACCCTGAACATGTTAACAAATTGGCTGAAGGATTTTCTGACCTGAACTTTGTCTGAGGTGAAATTGGGTCCAAAAAAAAAAGAAAGAAAACTTTATAGAAACTTTAAAGAAAACTGTAAAGAAAAAAAAAAAACCATGGATCCCAGTAAATAGCAAGTCTGAAGAGTTTTGCCTCAGCCTGTCAGGAGAAACATCAAAATATCTTGTTAACTGCTCATCTCAGTCCTTTAGTATGACAACAGAGCTACCTGGAGGACAGTGACGGAGTCACAAAGTCAGCCCAAAAATGAATCTGTAAAATTTAAATAACACAAAATGCAGCAGATAGAGGGAAACACCCTGTTGGTCAGTTGTTAGATCTGAGTCAGTGCACTGAACGTTTTATTTTAGTGTACGCAATCAACAAATCCATCCATCTTGTGTACTGCTTATCCTACACAGGGTTGCAGGGAGGCTGGAGCCTATCCCAGGGGACTCGGGGCACAAGGCAGGCGACAACCTGGACGGGGTGCCAACTCATTGCAGGGCACAATCGCACACACTCACATGCCCATTCACACACTAACGGACAATTTAGAGATGCCACTCAGCCTCCAACGCATGTCTTTGGACTGCGGAGAAAACCAGAGTACCCAGAGGAAGCCCCTGGAGCATGGGGAGAACATGCACATTCTGTGTACACAGGGCAGAGGTGGGAATCGAACCCCCACCTGGAAGTGCAAGGTAAATATGCTAACCACTATGCCACCAAGCCCTCCAAGCAATAAATCATATCATGACAATTTACTTCTTATTATCTTCTTGCTTCTAACAAATGTAAATAATGAAGTTAATGCCAATGTACAAATTTATTTCAATTTTAAAAAAAAAAAATAGTTTTAAATTAAAATTAACCTTTTCACCCGAAACAAGTAGTTTCATCACCCTCATATCCAGGTCAAGTCCAAAATCAATTACCCATTACTCAGCTCATATCATGAACGATAAGTTCATAATTTTGATGTTTTCTACATGACCATGAGTGCCATCTTTAGAAATCTATGAGAAATGTAAATGTTCCATTAACAAGTGACAAAGACGACAACAGAAAACTTAGTGCTCGTGTGTGTGTTTGGCCGGGGGGGATGCGGATCATCTCTGAAAGTTGTCCAGCTCGGCCGTACAGGTCTGCTTTCTATTCACTGCTCCTTAATCCCATTTAATGGAATACACTTGTAATTGCCCACTTAGTCTGGTTCCTGTTGGTCTTGCTTGGCTTGCTGGAAGTGTGTGTGTGTGTGTGTGTGTGTGTGGTTGAGTTTCTTCAAGAGTTAATCCTGCCTCCCTCACTGCATCTCTCACAGTCACTGACCCACAGCAGCTTCTCATACAGCTGTGTGCTTCTCTATGGATGACCGAACGGTGTGTGTGTGTGTGTGTGTGTGTGTGTGTGTGTGTGTGTGTGTGTGTGTGTGTGTGTGTGTTCGTGTTCTTAGAATTCACATTGGCACTGAATTGTAATGTGGTGTGTGTGTTCTCAGGGAGTGACACATTTTTGGATAGTAACACAGCAACTCATGTTGCACAAATCAAACTGTATGTGTGTGTGAGTGTTTAGTGGGGGTGTGGGGGGAGATTTTGGAATAGAAAATATATTGTCTGTTTTGTATCAATATTGAGTGTATTAATGCAGATTGGCTCTTTTTTCACCATGTATGTGTGTGTATCAGGCATTTGCCAATGAACCATGAAGTTCCAGACTGTGTGTGGTATCTGTCTGTGTGCGTACATGCCTATGTAAGACACCTAATTCCTAAAGAGGGATTTTTTTTTCATTTTCATTTTTCATAAATGAAAAAAAAAAATTATGATTTATGACTTGTTTGGGAATGTTTAAGTCCCCGAACAAGTACTAATACACATTAAAAGTATTTGGATAATTTCATGTGTTATATATATATATATATATATATACATATATATATATATATATATATATGTATATATATATATATATATGTATATATATGTGTGTATATATTATACATATATACACTAGTCACTAAAATTCATAAGCAGACAATTAATGCTTTTTAATATTCATTAGTTGCATAATACAAACCTTGAATCTGACACAGAATATAAAAAAGAAAAGGAGCAAAATAATCACCTGCAGGAAATTGCTGAGTAGTTGGAGGTTAGCATATTAACATTAGCTTAATGTTAGCGTACTCTATTCATTTAACTGATAGCCTTCATAGTGAAAGGAAAACCATTTTGCATTGCGTATCTTTACAATCAGTAGTTTGTAAGCATGGACTGATCACAATAATGCGTTAATAAATTTTCGGTCTTAAGGTTCTACGCTTCTTTCCTGGCATGGCTTCGTTCCTCTTGAAACTTTGGCCCAGTTCACACCTGGTATAACATGCTTCCTGGATTGATCCCTTTGTAAGTGGACAGCGCAAAGTACAGGTGTGAACGGGGTCAAACGTGTCTCACAGGCACCTTGTGATCAGGTCAGTCAGACTACATTCAGAGGTGGTTTGGGACGCATATGACCATATCACGTCCACAGGAGACGCATTCTATGTGCCTTGGCTGTCCAACTGTGATGAGATCACTCAAGATGGATGTTAATACCAGGTGTGAACAATGCTACAATTTTTATTATGTGTGTATATATACTGTATACTATAAATTAGTGGTGTATTGCAATGAAAATATCTGTATTTGCATTTGGATTTAAACCCAAAGTGAGTGTGGCATAAACCTAAAGGGTTTGTTGTTTGTTTGTTTCTTTCTTTCTTTCTTTTGGAAAATACTGTAAACCCCCAGATGTGGAAATGTCAACAATGTCAGCATGGTGTGTGAATTCTGGCTCTGACTGTTCTTTAACCTCCGCTACATCACTCCACTTTATAATTGGTCTCTACTCCATGGGATTATTTTCACAATCCTGCCCACACGGTTATTTTTGTTTGTACTAAACTATTTTTGTTTGTTTCCATACTAGTACCCTAAATTAAACCAGCATAGCCCTGACCAGACAGTTACTAAGGATGAATGAATGAACACTGTAAATGCACCACACAGCGTTCATGTTAATGTTTATTTTAATGTATTGTGTTGATTGAGAACACCCAATCTGTTCCATCAGAATAATGTTTTCAAATTCTGCTGCTTGTCCAGTGAATATATTTTCTCTTAGATTGAGACCTTGTTGTCTAATGAACATCAGGTTAATGCTCCTAATATGTCCATTTTATGTACACTATATTGCCAAAAGTTTTGGAACGTCTGTCTTTACATGCACATGAACTTTAAGGACATCCCATTCTTAATCCGTAGGGTTTAATATGGAGTTGGCCCACCCTTTGCAGCTATAAAGCTTCAACCCTTCTGGGAAGGCTTTCCACAAGGTTTAGGAGTGTGTTTATGGGATTTTTGACCATTCTTCTAGAAAGCGCATTTGTGAGGTCAGGCACTGATGTTGGTCGAGAAGGCCTGGCTCTCAGTCTCCGCTCTAATTCATCCCAAAGGTGTTCTATCGGGTTCAGGTCAGGACTCTGTGCAGGCCAGTCAAGTTCCTCCACACCAAACTCGCTCATCCATGTCTTTATGGACCTTGCTTTGTGCACTGGTGCGCAGTCATGTTGGAACAGGAAGGAGCCATCCCCAAACTGTTCCCACAAAGTTGGGAGCATGAAATTGTCCAAAATGTCTTGGTAAGCTGAAGCATTAAGAGTTCCTTTCACTGGAACTAAGGGGCCAAGCCCAACCCCTGAAAAACAATCCCACACCATAATCCCCCCTCCACCAAACTTTACACTTGGCAAAATGCAGTCAGGCAAGTACGGTTTTCCTGGAAACTGCCAAACCCAGCCTCGTCCATCAGATTGCTCAACAGAGAAGCGTGATTCATCACTCCAGAGAACGTGTCTCCACTGCTCTAGAGTCCAGTGGCGGCGTGCTTTACACCACTGCATCCGGCGCTTTGCATTGCACTTGGTGATGTAAGGCTTGGATGCAGCTGCTCGGCCATGGAAACCCATTCCATGAAGCTCTCTACGCACTGTTCTTGAGCTAATCCGAAGGCCACAGCCTTTGGAGGTCTGTAGCTATTGACTCTGCAGTAAGTTGGCGACTTCTGCGCACAGTGTGCGCCACAGCATGAGCTGACCCCGCTCTGTGATTTTACGTGGCCTACCACTTCGTGGCTGAGTTGCTGTTGATCCCAATTGCTTCCACTTTGTTATAATACCACTAACAGTTGACCGTGGAATATTTAGTAGTGAGGAAATTTCACAAATGGACTTATTGCACAGGTGGCAACCTATCACGGTACCACGCTTGAATTCACTGAGCTCCTGAGAGCGACCCATTCTTTCACAAATGTTTGTAGAAGCAGTCTGCATGCCTAGGTGCTTGAGTTTGTACACCCGTGACCATGGAAGTGATTGGAACATCTGAATTCAATGATTTGGAAGGGTGTTCCAATACTTCCAATATAGTAGTGCCCTTGTAAAATTTTTATGTTTCATTTCTTTTTTTAATCACTTTTTCCTTCATATAACCTTAACCAAAGAGAATTGTGTTTTTAGCATTATGACTTCTAAGGTGTTTCCAGTGATGTAGTAATAAATATCTTAATTATCTTAACTTGTGTTTGGGCTTTGTGCTTGATCCTCTTTTAACTTTTTTAACCCTTTGAATTCCTTCAAATTCTTAAAAATATTTTTTCACTTTTAACTAGATTTTATTTTTTGTCTTACTTTTGCTTGCATATTACCTTTACATTACTTTATTGTAATTATTGTATTTTTATTCTATATTTACACACCATTGTTAAATATTTTATTGTTATTATTTTGTTTCTTTCACTGCTATTATTTCATTATTATTTGCCTATTTAACTATTTTATTTTTGACTCCTGTTTTAGTCACACTGTGAAGTTTTAATCAAATGAAAGTTTAGAATCAGTAACTTTGGCAGGTTTCCATGAGCTATAAGCATGAAATATGTAAAATTCCATGCATTTTGTTATCTCAGGTAATAACTTGACGCATCTCAGAATAACAGACACACAGCCTAATGGTGGCAGTCTGTAGACCTCTTGAGCTCTTTCTCTCATCAAGAGCCTGTAGGCATAACTAGAAGCAGAGAGAATGTAATTAGAGAGTTTAAAAACGCAGACGAGAGCAAGCTGCTGCTGCTGCACGACTATTAGAGGAATTTAGCAGGGATTTGATGCTTCATTTCCACCAGGGCTTGTTGAAGCTTGAGCCTAACCCACACATATACAAACACTCATAGCTTTTAATGACGGAGTGTGTGTTCTTCCTCAGACACTCCTGATGGGTTCAATCGTCTGGAGGGATTTAAAGCAGCCATGCCACCATTGAGGAAGTTTTCAGATAATAGACTGAAGCTATGAGCTATTAGCCTGCTGAGTGTGAAAGTGCTGCTTTAAAATACATATGCTACATTTACAAAAATCAGTCATTAAAGTGAACGAAGCAGTGTTGAGCTTGCATGGGGCCATTCTTTACTTTCTGCTTTGCTATTTTCCTAGCATCAGAAAATCATCAAATAACCTTGATGTACATTATATGTTTATCAGTCATACTTTTTTAAAGATCTGTGAAGTCATTGATTGAGTGAATCCTTTCATGATTGAGATTCATTCTTGCGTTCAGTGAATCCATTGAATCCCATCTGAGCTTCTTCAGTCAGAGCTGAAGATTTGTACTTTGTACACTGCTCAAGTTCTC